GGCTGCGTGTGGGGCGGCACAACCTTCAGTAGCTTGCTATTCATTTTTCAGGTTTTTTTCTTTTTCTTTTTTTTTTCTCTTGCGATCCAAGAATCTGGGCTACGTCCAGCGGCCTAGCTCAGTTGATTAGGCACGCAAGTGGCATTCAAGAGGTTGTGGGTTCAATCCCCGCCTATGGCACTCTCGATGCCAACCAATTGAGATAGTCAGCTGGATTCTCCCAGTCTGTATCAGTAAGGTCTTCAGCCAACACGGCTGGGAGGCACCCCCTGTCCCTACTATCCTACCTCAGTGTGACCAGCACTGAGGACCATCACCCTACCAGTATTGAGGGCAACTTGGACCACACAGCAGTGACAAGCATCAGGGTTGGGCCAACCTCCCAACTGTAATAGAAGCAGAGGCAGACGAACCATGCGTTATGGGAACTTCGGACGCCAGACTCATGCAATCTACCACAGGTCCAATTTTGTGTGTGTGTGTGTCTTTTTTTTCTTTTTTTTATTTGCTTTTTGTGGTTTTGATTTTTTTTTAAAATACATGAAATTCAAAAAATAAAAATAAAAAAAATTGTTGTACATCTTTGAAAGCTCTACAACCTATATTTTTTATTTGTTTTTCTGTTTTTGTTTTAGTCCTTAAAAAATTTGTGTGAAACCCAAAAAAAAAACACTCATYTCATTTTAGTTTTTGTTTTTTCATTGTGTGTTTATGTTTTTGATTTTTTTAAAATATATTTAAACATCAAAAAATAAAAATAAAAATAAAAATAAAAATAAAAATATAGGGTTGTAGTCCTCGAAAAAACCTACAACCCATATATATCGTCATATATATATATACAGGGTCACCAGCCCATACGTACGGAGGTCCCCGGGCAGACCTCCGTACGTACGGGCGTTTGGGGTCCCGTACGGGGTCCGAACCCGATGGCGTTTGGCCCCCGCCAAAAATTATTTCGGGGCTTAAAAATAATTATTGTTTTCATAGTTTTTTTCTGGGTGTTCTCTATGACGTGAGGTACATGCCTGTAAATTTTCGATTCAATTGGCTACGCCAAATAAGAATTAAAAATCGCCAAAGATGGCGGTGTCAAAACGTGCTCGCCCACGTATTTTTTCACTTTTTACTTTTTGTTTTCACTTTAGTTCGGGGTCTAAACAATTTTTTTATTTTTTGAAATGTTTTTAGTGGGTTTTGTATTATGTGAAGTACACATCTGTAAATTTTCAGGGCATTTAGCTATGTCAAAAAAAAAAAAAAAAAATCGCCAAAGATGGCGGTGTTGAAAACATGCTCGCACACTCACTAAATTTAATTCTCTTTTTATTTTCATTGATTTTTGTTATTAGTATTTGTTTTTCGTATTTTAATTTTATTTCAAAATTCGGATGTTATGCTCAGGCAAATCTTGTTTAATTTATTTTTCTCCATAACATATTTTTTTTTCATATTTTTTTGATGACTTTGATTTTTTTTATTTTTTTTTTTGGGTCCGCGTTCGGCCTGAACGACCGAACGCATCCCCAAGGGGTCCCATACGTTCGGGCGTTCGGGTTCGGGCGTTTGGCCCGTCCCGAACGCCGGTTACCTTGTATATATATATATATATATATATATATATATATATACAGGGTAACCGACGTTCGGGACGGGCCGAACGTATATATATATATATATATACGTACTGTTTGTGACGATAATATATATATTTGGATCATTTTTAGCCCAGGAAAAAAATCATCGCGGACTCCGTTAATTCGCGTTCAACTCGCGTTTGAACAGGAGTTTAACGAGAATTCAACGCGGAACCCGCGTTGAATTCAAAATCGGACACACAATTATTTTCTTTGCTAACTGCTGTCTCCGCACTGCGCGCTTCTCCTTCCCACCTCTGTTTTCTAAGTTCCCCGTCTATGTCAGGTTGTGTTAAGCCCGTCACAAGAAGATGTATTATCTTCTTGTTGTCAGTGGCTCGTGATTGCCAAGGCCGTAATCTACCGCCGACAGTGTAGCTGCTTGCATATCGAGCCATTCCCCCGCAACGGCGTATGACGCTGGAACGTGCGGCCCATGGCCCGTCTATCGGGGCGATTTTCCCGACGTCCCGTCAAACAGGAAGGCGCGCGGCCAGCTGCAAAGGCCCATAGCGTGTGTCTGGGTGAGGCTGGCCCCAACTATCCTAATGAGAACGTCAAGGGGGACCAAACAACAGATGATTCGGCTGGCTCTTTGCCCTTACACACGGTTCCAACATACGGTTCGTATGCCAGTGTCGCTACAAGCGTTTACTAGGTTTCTCAAAGTCCTGGCTCTGCTCAGGCAAAGTTCCCTATCGCCACGGGCCTCCAACAGACAAGCCCCTCATACTGCCAGTCGATTACTAAATCGGGGGTGCGGTCCCGAGGCAGTAACAATCATTCAAATGAGAGTTTTTGAGGACCGAAGTGGAGAAGAGTCTCATGTGGGCAACTAAAATAGGGCACCGCCGATGACTCCTCCATAACACCCTGGCCGCTCCGCTTAGGCACAGCCCGTGCTCTTCGGGTCCTAGCAAGCATGCCCACGGTCATGCTTCCCATGACAGACTGCGGGCTCAATGGTGCTCCCGCAGAAGTCTTCGACACTCAAGTCCCTTCCAATTTCGTGGGTCAATCTCCCACAGGCTCGCATGCACGCTGACCACCATTAATCCCGGTTTTGCGCCTTACTCGAAAGAAATAACAAAACGAGGGTAACAATAATAATAATAATATGATAATAAACAATAAAATATTTGAAAACTTTTAACTGTCAGAACACGATGAATGAGGAAGAAAAATCATTAGTACCGTTTTGACGCCGCCGACCACAAACCCAAGGGGGATAGCCCCGTCGGACCCTCAACCCTTCGGTCCCTCCGTGCTACTTAGATATCCTGACGTCGTCGCCGCTCATTCTCGATCCCTGAATCTCCTTGATGAAAGTCCGATGTTGTAACCAATAGTGCTAGGCCCAAGTATGGGATTAGTTTTGACATACACCTAAATAAAACGGATACTGCGCGACCTGTAGATCTATCAAAACGTTTTCAAAATCACATTGTTGTCGATGTCGTCCTCCGTGCACTTGCGCAAGTCACAGACAAACGCACCAATCAGCAATCTTTTTAATCCTAGTTTAATCATAAGTAAACGTTTGGGCGACAATCGTGCTGGCTAAAAAATCACGTGCGCCTTAAGTCTGCGCGTCCACACACTCCCTACTCTAGTGAACTATTCAGTCAACGTAATCGAAACACAATCGAGACTCGCATGGTGTACACAACTCCTAAATCAAACTTATTCTATGTCACTTACCCTTATAAGGGTATTCGGACTGACCCCGCGCCCATGCAGTAGACAATGTGAAGTACTATGTGCCCGAAGGCCAGACATGTGCAGTACTACCTAGAGGGAAGTATGTGTTCTTGAAGAGATGACAGGCAAAGCTAGACAAAAACTCCCCCAAAGTCCTAAGCCAGACTTCAACCCGTGATCTATGGCATGTGACTGGAAGACTCTACCATATGAGCAACAATAGCAAACTGCACCTATGTGTGATATGCCAGACCGGGCGGATCAACAGAACAACCACGACCAATACAACACCGTGGGCAACCCTTGGGTGATGCACAAGCAGTCTGTAATAGCTTACTACCTGTGTCAGCCCAAGGGGGTGTGCAAGTCACCATGCATTATGTGAATGTAAACCCGAAGGTATGGAGTTTTGAACCCACACCCTCAGACCACAGTGTGCATTGACAACTGGTGCCCTAACCACTGAGCCACAGCCCTTGGACAACACGACTTTTCAGCAATTGGTGTCACACCTTGTGGGAAGTAGGGGGAGGAGATGGTGGAGACGTGTCCGAGGAACTGAAGGGGTGGCGTGTGGTGGACAAGCTGTTTCCCAGTAGGGGGGTTGTCTGTGGTTGCTATGTTTTCCAAAACCCGTTGGGTGGTTGGGCGGCTTGGACCTGCCTGACGGAGGAGGTCTGCATTTAGCCCATGCGCGCGCGCGCGCGTGTTTGTGCTCGGGATGTTCAAATATCAGGCGAATGTATGTTCCCCACGAGCTGGAAAGATACGCGCGCCATTTGCTATTATCCCTTTCAAACTCGACGAATGGCGAGGTTTTGACCCAAGGTAGACCCACAAGTGTCAATGGTCTGTCCGACAAACGAGGGGCCTTCCCCGGCTCCACCGCGACGCAGCAAATTGAGAATGAATCTCCCTCTAGAACATGGGAAGATACACCGCCATATTTTTCGTCTTTTGTGCATGTAGTGAGTAGGGGAGCGAGGTCGGATGTCTGAGGCGGGAACGATAGAAGAAGGCGGGAAAGATAAAAGCGAAAGGCGAAATCCCTTTGTGGCGACTGTGCGACTGTGCGACTGCGCGACGTAACCTTGTGCGCAGCTGTGCGACACGATGTTTATCCGGTTCCTAGGCGACTTGAGTATGGGAATTGAAGTGGGCTCGTGAGAGCGAGCGAAAGGGCGGGAGTTGTCGCCCGCCTTCTGTGCGACAGGCGTGAGGCGGGGGAGCGGCAGCCAGCGCCCGTCGCTGTGCGACGCGTGTTCGCTGCGCGCGTTGGCTTGCGCGGCGGAAGTGGGCGCGGCTTGGTGGTAGGTTCAGATAATGCACAAGTGTTGTAAATCATCGGTCGGTGAAGAACGAATCCAAAACAGAGATTGCGGTTTGCTGCCGACCGGTCGCAAGGGCAGGAATAGAGATTGCGATTTGCTGCCGACCGGTCGCAAGAGCAGGGGCACAGCAAAGAAGGCAAAGGCGGGAGGAGGGGGTGAAGAAGCCCGCCCCGCCTTTTCGATTGCTTTTGTCAGCGCGCGCTCTCTGACGGTTTGACGGCTTTTGGCGGGGGTTTCTCGTCAAGCATTTTTTTGCCTGCACTGGCTATTGGCTATATTAGCTATCGCCTGTACTGGGTATTGGCTATTGGCTGTGCTGGCTATTCAGAGTCGCTGTTTTTTGACGGGTTCCCCGTCATCAGGAATAGCCTGTACTATTGGCTATTGGCTGTGCTGGCTATTCAGAGGCGCTGCTTTTTGACGGGTTGCCCGCCCGTCATCAGGAATAGCCTGTACTATTGGCTATTGGCTATTGACTATCACTGAGCGTTGTTGCGGGGAAAGAGTGGAAGCCGTGGGAAGCTATGGCGACCATGGTTCGAACTCAAGCTTGCGTCGGGGCGGTCGTTGGGAGTCTCTCTGCGGCATCGACACCCTCCTGTACTATCAATGGCCGTGCTTCAGACAAGATCGCCTGCCTCATCATACCGGCTGCTCCTGGTAATGACACGTGGCTGACGCTCTCTGGACCGGCTTTGACTCAGCAATGGCGTAGCCCTCATTCGCAAACCAGGCTCCCAAAGTCGTCACTGGCGGCGGACTCACTCATGTCCGCCTGGTACAGCCGGTGGTCGTCCGGTGCATGCCGTTGCGTTAGCGCGGCAGAGAGTCCTGCTGCTGTCAATAGCACAGAAAATGGGAAGGAAGAGAAGGTTCCTATCGAGAAGGGTAATCTCTCTCTCTCTCTCTCTCTCATTTCCTCTCTCTTACTGTTTTCCAATTCCAATGTCTGTGTGTTATTTTCTTACAACTTCAGTCGGCATCTGTCAATCTGTGTGTCCGGGGATACTTACTCGAGCGCTTTAGCTCGTATTCCTATCTCTTTGTCCCTCCCTCTCTCTCTCTCTCCCTCCGCCCCCTCCCCCCCTCTCTCTCTGACTCTTCCCCCCCTTCCTGTCTCTCCCTCCCTTCCTCTCTCTCTCCCTCCCCCCTCTCCTCTCTCTCTCTCTCTTTGTATGCATGTCTCCTCAATTTCCGCTCCCGCTTTTGCTGATGGATTACCGGGCCGCTCACTATCGCCTCGAGCATTGCAAGTTATCGGACTGCTCCCTTCCGCAAATTCCTACGCATTATATTATCTCCGTCTCTCCTCTTCTCTCCTCTCATTTTCTCCTCACATTCTCTCTCTCCCCCCTCCCCTCTTATTCTCTTTTTTTTTTTTTTTTGTCCCTTTCCACTCCTCTTCTCGGCGGCTCTCGGGCGTGTACGAGGAGATTGCCCGGCCTTTCTCGATCTTCTCTCTTCGCGCGTTTTTTCTCTCTTCACGCCTTTTCTCTCTTCGCGCCTTTTCTCTCTTCGCGCCTTTTCTCTCTTCGCGCCTTTTCTCTCTTCGCGCGTTTTTTCTCTCTTCGTGCGTTTTTTCTCTTCGCGCGTTATCCTCTCTTCGCGCCATTTCCTGTTTCTCTTCTGTTCGGGTCTTTTTCCCTCATGCCCCTCTCCTTGTGTCATATTTTCCCTTGCTGTCTGTTTGTCTCTTTTCTCTCCTCACCCCTCCATATCTCTCCTCACCCCTCCATATTTCTCCTTACCCCTCCATATCTCTCCCCTCCTCTCCCAACCTCTGCCCTCCTCCTACATTGGTTAGACGACTCCCCCTACCGGGCTCCCTCTCCCCACCTCTCCCCACCTCTCCCCACCTCTGCCCCTTTCCTACATTGGTTAGACGACTCCCCGTACCGGGCTCCCTGCTGCTTCCTCTCTCCAGAATCTGTTTCCCCGTCCTCTCCCGAGTAAAACACCCGGTCATTACACCTGTATCTAGACAGAATACTGCCCCAAATATAACCGTAATGGCCGGACGCTATTCGGGTGAAGACGGGCACAAGGGTAGTTCTCCTTGAAGTCGTCTGACCGTCTTGTAGCGGCATCGAAGTACTTCAAAATACAGCTGTATATGGGGCTGTATCCAGTCTAGATACAGCTATAATGCCCACCTCCTCTTCTCTCTCTGTCCCTCCCTCGGTACAAACCAAAGGGAATAAACTTCAGAAAATGGGCACCAGGATACAAGAAGACGTAATCGTCGCCTTACCCTGGCGGGAAAAAAAAAAGAAAAAAAAAAGAACAAAACCCGATTGATAATACCGAAAAGAGGAGGCAAATCACCTTGGTGGATCTCTCTCCCTCCTCTGCATGTCCACCTCCTTTCTCTGCCGTGTCCTTCACCTCTCCATTAAAGCGTGCCATCTCCTCTTCCCAGCCTTTATCTAACCCCCTCCCCTCCCCCCTTCTCCTCTCCTCTCCTCTCGTCCTCCCCCCCCCCCCCCCCAACGATCACCTGCATTTTTATTTTATTTTATTTTATTTTAAGCCTGTCATCTCATTATTGCAAAATTCAATAGTTGGGGCCGGGGACCCGACAATTCAACCCGGAATGGTACTGACAGCATCAGCCAGCTTAGCTTAGTCTTCAGAGCAGGAAACAATTATACTAGGTACAGCTCCGGCCCTTTCGGCCTCTGACCTGGAGGATCCTCTCTGCGTAGATAAAAAAAAACTCTTCCTCACGGCCCTAAAAGCCACACAATCCGAGATCACCTGCATTTCTCTATTTACGAGACATAATTCTTATAGATACTCATTAATATTAAGTGAATATAAAATAAATACAGGTGGTAAAAATACAAAAGCACTCTCTCATATGTCTCTCTTCCCATTCTGTTTCTATCTCCAGAGCTCCTTTTCATTTTCTGTCCTCTCCTCCCCCTCTCCCTCTCTCCCTTGGCACCTGCCATTGTGCCACGTGGCCCGTGACGCCTGCCATTGTGCCACGTGGCCCTTACCACCTGCCACTGTGCCAGGCGGCACGTGGCACCTGCCGCTTGCCGCTGTGCCATCAAGCCACGGACCACGTGGTTCCTGCCACCTGGCATTGTGCCACGTGGCACGTTGGCAGACTCGAGGAAGTGGTTTTTATCTTTTGGACCTGCTGGCGCTTAGCTTTTCTCCATCTCGAGTCTGCCCACGTGCCACGTGGTACAATGCCAGGTGGCAGGAGCCACGTCACCCAGGGTGACTTGGTCGTTTCACTATAGTTTCCATGCGCACGTTAGATCTCGCGGAAACGACCAAGTCACCCAGATTATAGCCAGAGCACAGCTCGTTGATAGAGTTAACGGCGCTTCAGTCGAGGGCACCTCCGTTACCATCGAAACGGACGGCCGTTATCGAATTTTGAACTAACGAAAGGCCAACCAAAAAAACAAAAAAAAAACAAACCAAATTCGAGAACGGCCCTATGTTATCTATTTGATTTGTTTGCTGAACGTGGCTAATTCCGAGAAGAGAGAAGAGGAGAGGAGAGCGGTAGGATATAGTCTTTATAAGGCGGTCTCTCTTTTTTTTTTTTCCAGAAAGAAAAAGCATATTATCTTAGATAATGTATGGTAGAAAGTAAAAGAAACGGACAATTGGTGTGATTGAGTCTTTTTTTTTGTTATTTATTTATTTTTTGATTTATTACTTGCCCCCTTTTGTATTCCTTTCCCCTTTCTTTCCCGAAACCCCACTTAAATCTATAACCTTCTCCTCTCAATTACATCTGCTAGCTAGCAGACTCCCAATGAAACCTGCTCGCACCTTCCCAATTAATTTATCCTGCCTGTAAACCTCCAATTATTTCGGCGTTTGTGCAAACGCCGAAATACATCTGCCGTTTCTATCAAACGCCCAAATACATCTGCAAGCACCCCCCCATTTAATTCTGCAAGCACCCCCCCATTTAATTCTGCAAGCAACCCCATCGACGCATGAAAAAAGCCCCCAATTAATTATTTCTGTAAAAAAAAACCTACAATTATTTCTTCTCTCAAACCCCCAAATACATCTTCTGCAAT